TTAATCAAGAGGAAAAATAATGTTGTGCCTAAAGACACAGAAGTGTTGCAGGATCCTTTCTCTGCTCTACTGCAAATTTCTTGCTCAGTATTGGCTTCCCTAGCTATTAATGCGACACTTAATTCCTCTTCCCTGCCTTTACTTGTTTTGTTCAGCTGGGCTATAAAGTCTCAGGAGCAGGAGGCTGCCCCCCCAGTGCATGTTTGTATAGCATCCAGCATAAAAAGCCATGATGTCAGATGGACTCTTTGAGCTCTAACTGAAGACAAACCACTTCACAACTTTATTTTCAAAGATGTCTGACATGAAAAAAAGCATAATGACTAAACAGATACAGAAATGCAAGGTCCATTAGAATTTTACCCTGACAGCAAATTGTACTTCTTAATTGGCATTGCCCTAATACTATTTTCTAGGCAGAGCTTAATTTAAGTTTGACCTCCAAAGATTGGAGACTCTGGGGATCTCTCAATGGAAGGCATTTCCCTGGCTTTCTGGAATACACTTCTACACAGAGGATTAGTGGAAGTACTCAAGGTATTAGTTTCTGCTTTAGAAGACAGCATGACACAGCGAAGATGTATTATGAGAATCCATAACCTTTAAATTTATTCCCAGCATAAAAAGTCTGAAATAAGCCATGTACATAGGCCTTCAGGATCTTATATGGCTTGCCTATTTTACCAAATCTTTAGATGAAACATGAGTATTCACATACTCAAGAAATATCTGAAAGCATCGTTCAATGAGCCTGTTTGCATTATGAGGTTATAGGCTGACCCACAATGAACTTCTCTATTGATTTTGAATCTTTAAATTTTATATTAATTTTAGCTTTAAAATACACCATTTTTTTCTTTCAAAACTCTGAAAACACTGCACACTAACTTTTTTCAGAATTTTTTTTGTCTTCTTGAATGCAATAGCTGAAATCTGTCAGACTTGGAGAATCCAATGCAAGTGAGTTACTATAAATAAACATCCACTATGTTGCAGTAATCAAACTTTTGCCTGCTCTTAATGTCTCCCAATAGTAAAGCAGAATTCACCAGCTTAAACCATTAATCATGACCAACAGCTCTGAGGACAGATCTTTCTTACAATAAATAAAGTACCAGTGTTGCATTGGGTGGTAATAGTTTGCAGACTAATACTACCCAAAAGGACAAAGTTACTGCACTGAACGTTTTAGAAGTCATTAGTTAAGCACGTCGACTAGTTTAAGATGTTCTTGCATCATTGGTGTTACTTTTCAGGATTGAGTCATGTTCACTTAGCAGTGCTGCCAAACTGTGTTAAGACAGGTTTTTAAAGTCCGATTTTGAAGTCATATGGGAAAGATCCCATCCATTCACCTGAGGAAGAAGTTTCATAACACCTTTAAATAAACAACTTCCTATTAACCAAATTATGAGCAAGTAATAAGCAAGCAAAAAGTCTTATTGCACTTGTTTTCCATGTTCCATTCTTACACAGGTTTTAGTTGTACTTTCAAACTCTACCTTTTCTGGAAAGTAGTATTTTAAAGGTACTGTTATGTATTTTCCTAAAAGAGCAGGGCTAGCTGATTGTATATCATAGAATAGTTTGGGTTGGAAGGGACCTTAAAGGCCATCTAGTTCCAACCCCCCTGCCATGCACAGGAACCCCCTCCACTAGACCAGGTTGCCCAAAGCCTCATCCAACCTGGCCTTGAACACTTCCAGGGATGGGGCATCCACAACTTCTCTGGGCAACCTGTTCCAGTGTCTTACCACTCTCACAGTAAAGAACTTCTTCCTTCTATCTAATCTAAATCTACTCTCTTTCTTTTTAATATCCAGCTGCTGGAATTAAATACAGCTTTTTCAATTAATATATTTTTACTGCTACACATGATTTTCATTGCATTAAGATACAGAATAACAATATTTAAGAGCAACAGTATTGTAGCAGTATTCGGAAATCCCAGTATGTAAATACACTGTGTGTTACACAAACATTGAAGATGCTCTCTGCCTAGAAACTTAATCTCCTTCAAGCTTTAATGAATACAGTATTTATAAACCCATGAAAGATAAATGTGAAACAGACATAAGTTTAAATATCAGAGCAAAGCTATGTAATGACAGCACACTGGATGCCAAAGATCAGCGTTTGTAACTTTCCTTCTTGTTGCTTCTTGTAATGCACTGTTACAATTACTGCTCCCATGGCTGCAGCTGCCAACACAGACTCTCTTGACAATACCTAAGAATAAATATCTGAGCATCACATGAGTTTCATTTCTTCTCTACTCTGTAAGCAGCATTTGTCAAATTATGCTTTACATAAATTTGAAACAATTGCTCTGTAAAACGAAGAAGTATCAATAGATGAAAAACTATGATCAGAGATGCACTGGCAATTAGAATGAAACAGCTGTAGTTGACTGGAGGAACTAGTGACAACATCAGTAATAACTGTTCTCCATACTAGTGTATGTTTTGTGATACTGTGTGTTAAAAACAACCATAGGCCCAGAAAAGGGATACAGCATATGGGCATACCCCCATTCATTATCATCAGAGTCTTTCCACAGTGGCTCTTCTGCTTCTCCATCAGTATGTTTCTACTTCCCAGATTCCTCTATTCAACAGACCCAAAACAGGCCTGTCTCCTCCATTTTTGTATCTGCACTCAACACATACAAAGTAGCTTCCCCCTATTATACCAAGAGCTTTTCATACCGACAAGAACTTTTTCCAGATCTCACTGTTATTGGTGGGGAGAGAGGGGCTGGAGCGAGAGGGGAAGGGAAGGTGTTAAATAACTACTTTATGCAGATATGATGTTCTTAAAATCATTATTCTTGGCTTTGAAATAAATCTGTTTGCCTGCAATAATTGGGTGCTACAAGAAAACCAGTAATCACAAAAATCACTCAGTTGTCTACAGAAAAAAGCATTCTCTTTAAAGAAGAAAGCAGAAGACAAACTACAACAACTCAGGTTTAGCAAACTAGATCTAACAAACCAGCACTTTGTCAATCCAGCCTTATGGTTCTTCCTGTGATTGCCACTCAGCCTACATTTTCAGCATCACCTATGACACACTCTGGAGACATAGGATTATTTAAAGTGAAGTCAGATTCTAACGCAATCCTGCATCATTTACACTCTCACATTGGACTTTCTTCCCTATCAGCCCGCAGAGGCCAGGACAGTTTCCACAAAAAAGATTTTAAAATAAGATTAGAGGGAGGCATTGTGACCTCCAGAACATAAACCAGGACATGGAAATCCAGTTCCAGCTTTGACATTAAAAATTAATGGGAGAAGGTTGCTGCTGTGGGAAAAACAAACACACACGCACACACGAAGAAAAACTCTGACTCTTGAATCTCAAAGTATTTTGATTGCCACCCAAAACCAGAGCAAAAACCTGTATGTTCCAAACATTAGTTTAATTTCTATTCTTTTTAAATTAACAAGGCAGCTGTCATAATGTAAGCCCTACAAGAAAGATGTCTTCAGGAAAGAAGCAGAAAAGGAAAGGTGAAAATCTTATCCTTTCACGACTCTATTTGATTGATTTATGAGCTTTGCAGTTTTGACACGTACCACTCATTCTCAAAACGTTTGTGAAAGTCAAATTTCAAACAAGGCAGAGTAAGTGAAGCAACAGAGAAATGGCATCTTCTGTTGTTGAACATTTAAATGCATCAATTTATTACCTGAATCCATTTTTCTTATTTTGTTCTAAGATTTCTAGAGACAGCAAGTAGCTTAAGGCTGTGGGCTATCAGATTCTTTAACTGGAACAACTGTAATACTGAATTGGAGCAGGGGCAGGGGGGTGCTCTATAATTAATCATGCACTGAATTAAACAAGGTTAATTGAAAATAGTTTTCGGTAGGCTAATAAAGATATGCACACAAATGTATTTGGACTAAACAGCTCAGCCAGTCTAATGGTTGGTCTCATTCCACCGTTACCCATGTTGTCCTACCTAATCCTATCCATATAATCATCTGTACAGATTTTTTCTGGGTTAATTTTCTTCAGTTTAGCAAGCTTAATTGGCCAATCCAGGAATCACTCTGGTGCAATGGAAACGGCAGGCATATATTGCCTGGAGTGGGACTTTACCTTTCATTGGCAACTATATTTTAGATCAGCTTACCTCATCTCACACAACTTGCTTCATAAGCGTCCTATCCCTTCTAAACTGCACAGCTTTTGGCTTCTTGGTTCATGTTATGTTAATTGAATCACTTATTCAATTGCCATATACTCTTCCACTGAATTTCACAGTGAAGAAATTGGAAACAAGGAGAAAGAAATCTACCCCCTCTCTTCCCCCCTCCAGAAACATCAGAGATTGTGTACACATTAAAAAAAAATCCTTTTTTCCTTTTTGTGATGTATTTTGATTGTAGCACCGTCAAACTCACTGATCCTTTTTCAAATCAAACTCAATGAAAAAAGTGTATGCATATTATACTAATGCTGTGTAATTATGTAAATGCAGAAAACAAGACATGTTTCTTCAGCTTCCAAAACAGTTTATGTCACTCTGAACACATCCTGCTAATCTAATACCATAAAATGTATTTAAAATATTAAGTTTTCTGAAGAAAAAGACTAAAAAAAAAATTGAAGTTTAATTTAACTAAGAGCCACCACACTTTATGCCAATACTATAAATATCCAATGTATTTATGTTGCTACAAAGCATTCCATTTCAGCACATCCAGATCGGAGAAATTAGATAGAAGAATTTTGGACAGCTTTTTTTAAGAAAATAAGCCTGACTGCCCTAAATCACAGTTTTATTCCATACAGTGGCAATATTTTTTCTAGGAAAACTCTATTGCAGTTGGCTTATCATGGCAGAAATGTTGTGAACAGCTTTGACAGACAGGAGTCTTGCAATGAGAAGGTCATAGGCTTAGTTTGGATCTTCCCTTGTCTGATTAGACAGAGAGTATTTTACCACAATTGGCTCTAGTCACTAACTGATTTTCATTCCCAAATACCTGTCATCACCGTCACTGATGCATTCAGGAAGAGCAAGACTACAGCCAAACAGCATGATGTGTTGATAGCAGCTGAGACGATTGAGATAACTGAAGAACTTCAGGAACTTTTCCATTTCAATACTTTTGACAATGGAAAGAACTGAAGTTATAGTGGTGTAGTTATATGGCAGCATTTGGCACTGGCTGTTGGTGATATTTATGCAGGCACCTGTGAAATCAAAACAATATATTTAGAACAAAAGTGTCACCATTCAATAATTGGTTCAAAGCATATATTGAATTGACTAGTCAGTACAAAAATATATAAAAGCAATACCTGTACCTCACAGATAAGATGACATTCCATAATGCTATCATAATACTGTCAAAAAAATAAGTATTTAAGAAAAAAAGGAATCTGGAGAAACTTCATAGCTTAGCTTGGAAAACAAAATAAACTCAGATATTTTCATGATCCCCTGACTCTCTACAAAACTGGCCTAGAAATAACACAAAATGATTTTTTTTTTCTGACACAGGTTGGATGAGCAAACCATAAGAATAGCCTGGATACAGACAAATTTGGCTGAAACTAAGAATGGAAGTCATCCAAAAATATTAAGGCTAATTGGGTTCTGCAGCTGCTCTGGTTTAGGTGTTTCCATAAAGTTTCTCTTTTTGTTACCATTCTACTTTGCAGCTGGCTTTCCTGCCAAAATCATCAACTTGCTTACCTATTTTTCCCAAGGTGATGATTTTATCTCCACAGTCTTTGTTCTCTGTCCTACCAACATAGAATTATCTGATTTTACAGGTTGAACACCTACCCTGTCCTAAACTGTTGTCCCACTCTTGACCTACCAAAGCAACCTTTCTCTGCTAATGCCCTGTCATCTGCAGTAGGCTCTCTCAGCTATGCACGATCAGCAGGTTAACTTCCTACATAAAGTTCTTAAGAGTGAGTTTCACAAGCCATACACCAAATTCAGAATTTTCATCAAGAACAAACTATTAAAATCTAATTATTTTTGACAGCTCCCTACTTTGATGAAGGCCTTTCTAGGCCATCCAGTCAGGCTCCAGTAGCATTATTTTCCACACACAGAGCATATCCACATTGTAAAATAAGCAGGGAACTCAGCCCATTCTCAAGACCATACTCTGCCACTAATCACGCTGTAAACAAATCAAACTCATGCTAAGTGACCATCCTAACTCTAGCCTTCTGAAGGGGGAAAACTCTTGAGCATATTCAATCCTTAGCACTCCTGTTCTCATTATCTAAGCAAACTGGACATAGGTAGCACCAAATGGGCTTCTTCCAAGAACTGTGTGGGTCATTTACACCTAACTTTCCAACTTGATAAAAGCTGGGGATGGAAAGTACACAGGATGCAGCTTTAAGGGTTCAGCAAGTCTGTCTCTTCCTCACCTTTCAGTCTAGACACAGTCTTCACTGTCTAAATGCAATAGTGGCAAATTCTGATATCTATAGACTAATACAACCTCACATAAGGGTAGGGAAAACAAAGCATAATGAAGAAAAAATTCATTAGTTCTTTTTCAAATTGCAATGTCTTTGAAGGGATGTACAAAAAACCTGGGTTTCAAATTTTATCTAGACTTGGTAAAAAACAATCCCTAATTTTTCCGGGCCTAATGCGTATACTCAAAGTTACCCCCTTTGTCTTCTCGCTTTCCAGAAGTCTCAACAAAAAAATAAGGAATTGAATCTTGCCCCACTGAAACAACAGCAAGTCTCTCCCCTCATTCTAATCAAGCTAAAACTATGTCTCACCTAAACTGAGACCGGAAGAAAACTCAAAGATTCCCTATTCTGATCATTTACACAAAAGAAGTCCCTCCATTAATTCTTGCATCAAGCCCAATAACTTGTGATAGACAGAACACATCTTTCAGACACACAAGTCTGCTCAGTGCCAAATTGCTCTGTACATAGGCAAACAGTGATACAGACACAATATTCTACAGAGCAAGGAATACCTTATTTTAAAGAACATTAAAAGTAGGAGAAAAGCTATTTAAAATACAAGCAAAAGGGACTGCTTATTTAATTAAGAGTAGGTATTCAAATAAAAAGATTAAAAAGATAAAGTAAAAATATATTTCAGTAAGGATAACAGTATTATTTTTTTTAATAAACAGAAAATCTGAATAATTACACTTACAAACAGCCACAGATATAAGAAAAGAATAGAGTAAACCTCAAAATGCATAACTATTCTACCAAATTGCTAAGTTCTGCTCCATATGTACAGGCTAAGTGCATTTTATAAACCATGTGGCCCTCCAGTGCCAGAAAGCTAATCTGACTGATGGTATAACATACCAGTACTAAACATGTTACAAACCAAGAAGGAAACAGATCAGAGAAGAAGATAAATGCCGAATACACATAGAAAAGCCTCAACATATTTACTACTTTTCTCCAGTAAAGATTCATTAATTACAGGGAATACAAGGCACATAAACTAGTTTTGGCAGTACCTGGAGGAGGAAGAAAAGAGCAGTGAAAGGGAATAACAACACGTGAAAAAGCTGTTGATCAAAACAGCATGGTTCCTAATTATATGGGTCATTTCTGACATTCATCTAATTTAAGTGTTTTCTGTTTATCACTGGCTATTGCCAGATGCACTGAACTGGTAAAATTGCAACAATTGCAATGCAAGTCTCCAGTTTTATATTCAGTGCTGCTGAAAATAATTTAAACAACACACTTCCCGTTTCCCTCTCTTCTCTTCAGATTGTTCCCAGATTGCACTACCTATGGACTCCATCTGCACAAAGTGAACTGGACTACAGTGAGCTGACTGAAAATAATCACCTACATTCTTTCCCAAAAGACAATGTTTATAGCAGTCCCAAAGAAATGCAACTGGAACTGCAGCATAAGCTTGATTAATCTCTTTAGTTTTAAAATGCTCAACCATCCCTGTAATGATAAGGTCATGGTTCCTCACCCAAAAGTGCTTGTCACTTCTAGATGTTTTTGAGGCCATGCAATGAACTAAGTCTGTACATTTGCCTGCCTGAAAAAAATAGCCTTTCCTCTGCTCTCCTGCCCAACTTTTTAATTTTTTGGTGGGCACAAGATGGAGGAGAGAAAGAGGGAAAAAATAACTATTTCATTTGGATCAGATCATTGGGTTGAATAGCTTTTTGGCAGCAAAAACATTTGTTCTAGGACAAGAAATGTGGCAGTCCAGTGGCAGGAACCAGTGGGTAAGATTAAAGCCTGCTCACAGCAGCTGAAGCAGTGCTTTTGCAGGATGTGTAATCACTGCCCAGAACCATAAAGCACTTTGAAAGGGTTAGGAATATTTGAATTGCACCATCAGACTCCATTCCTGTCTGATGAAAAATGAAAAAACACCTTTACTCTAAAATGGATTAATAAATTCCCCACCTGGAGTACTGCATCCAGCTCTGGGGGCCCAAGTACAGGAGAGACATGGAGCTGTTGGAGCGAGTCCAGAGGAGGGCCACGAAGCTGATCAGAGGGCTGGAGCACCTCTCCTATGAGGACAGGCTGAGAGAGTTGGGGTTGTTCAGCCTGGAGAAAAGGTGGCTCCAGGGAGATCTAATTGCGGCTTACCAGTTTCTGAAGGGGGCCTACAGGAAAGATGGGGAGGGACTGTTTATGAGGGAGTGTCGTGACAGGACATGGGGTAATGGGTTCAAGCTGAAGGAGGGTCAATTTAGATTAGATGTTAGAAAGAAATTCTTTACTGTGAGAGTGGTGAGGCACTGGAACAGGTTGCCCAGAGAAGCTGTGGATGCCCCATCCCTGGAAGTGTTTAAGACCAGGCTGGATGAGGCTTTGGGCAATGTGGTCTAGTGGAGGGTGTCCCTGCCCGCAGCAGGGGAGTTGGAACTAGATGATCTTTGAGGTCCCTTCCAACCCAAACCATTCTACGATTCTATGAAATTTGGTGCAACTCTGCATTCTGAATGCATCTTTTTTCTAACTTACACTATAAAAACAGATCTGGGATTTTTCCTCCTGGCATCAGCCATTTTAATTGTAATGCAGTTAAAGGATGCCTTCAGTTAAAGCTAATGTGAACTGGCCTAGATCCTAGCTAGGGTATATTTTTACTAGGATTGTCGTAGCAGATGTGCAAAACAAGCCTCTGTCTCAGGTATGCAAAGCATAACATAGCATACAAGAGTGCTTGAGGAAAGTATGCAGCCTGATTTTCACATTCCAGGTCAGGTTTGCTGGGATTATTAGAAAATAATCTTTTTAATCAGAACAATCTTTACAGAACATCTTTAAGTAGCTCATGGAAAATGAAACCATGTTCAATTTGTTTGCAGGAATCATCACCCACTTCATTACAGAACTTAGCTTAGTACACTTTCAGTACTATGTTGCACATTTGCAGTCCATAAATTCACTGGTAAAGCCTCAGTAAATCCAAGGAAAAATGGCAACTGTCACCTGACTCTTTCATAGCAAAAGCTTTACCAATGTGGAATGAAATCTCATCTTTAATACTAAAATGTCTTGAAAATTTCTAGGAGTCCCATTAAAAAGAGCAAAACCAAACCAAACTCATCCATTCTAACTTTGAAACTTGTCTAATTTGCCTACAGCAGCAATTTGCAGACTTCTTGACATGGGAATGACCTTCAGCAAATTAATTTTTTTCCAATCCCAAGTCGCCATGTTCTCCTGACCTTAAAAGGATCTTGTGACTCTGCTTGATTTCACAATCTAATGTGAGACACATGAAGCTATAGAATGCCTTTTTTACCCCCTCTGTCCTGTTGCTCTTGCACATCCGGATTATCATGGACTTTTGCTCCAGATGAAAGGAGCACGACATTCCACCTACCATCTGGTCTTCTCAGCAAAACTTCTTTCCAATACTCATTACTGTCTTCAAAAATTTTAATACTTCTTTTAATTTACTATGACATCTTGGTAAATTTTTCATTTCAATTAAAACAGAAGATGGACAGATTTTCTTGGTCTCCCTCCAGCTATGAATTTCTCATGTACAGTCCACTTGGGACTGCACATCTGAGACTGCATTTCAGATGTTTTCTCCGTAACTCAGGAAAAGCACCCTAATAAGTGATTTTTCTTCTGACACACTTCAATAGATGCCAGGAACTAGGATCTATCCTTTGGAATCTGCCCAGCAGGGAAATCTACAAACTGTTTTCTCCTTAGTTCAAGTATCAGGAGTTAAAATC